CAGAGTGAGGAATATAAAGTGCTAAAGGGAATTGATAAGGTAGATGTCGAACAGATGTTCCCCTTGTGAACAGTCTCAAACAAGAGGTCATACCTCTTGTATACCGTGTATAGTTAGAGGAGGCACATTCAATACTGAGACAAGGCAAAACCACTTCTCTCAGAGTGTTGTGAACCTGTGGAACGCCCTGCCCCAGAGTGCAGTGGAGGCAGAATCATTCAACAGATTCAAGAAAGAAAGGAATATTTTTCTGATGTAAAGCGGTACAAAGGGCTATGGGGAGCAGGCAGGAAAGTAGAGTTGAGACCAGGATATGATCAGCCATGATCATGTCAAATGGGCTCAAATGGCTGAATTTCTACTTCTGCTCCTAATTCCTCTGTTCCCATGGATAACAAACTCATGGAAATGAATGAGAAGTGATACACAATTGTCAATTTGATATTGCTGATAATTAACTTCCGATTCTCACTTTATGGCAGCTCTCTCAGATGGGATCTGGGTTCGCTGATCAGTCACCTGCCAGAATGATCACACTCCAAGGGACAGTGACAGACAGTTCAATCACAAGTGCACCACGGACAAGCCAACCGCCATCTTTACCTGTTTCAAAATTTACAATGGTCAAGAGAAATCACCAGCTTCCCCTTCTCACAGAAATAGGAAACAGAACCTTGGAATGTAATTGCCAAAGCAATGAATATTCCATGGAATACAGAACCAAATTAAATATAATGAAAACTGCAGATACTGGAAATTTTCTGAAATCAAAACAGGAAGTGCAGAAGAAACTCAGGAGTGGCAGCATCTGTGGAAAGATAAGCAGTTAACATTTTTACTGCAATAACTCTTTTTCTGAGTTTAATTAAATTCATTAAGCAAACTGACCGGTCCTAATAAACAGGCACAGGGTGTGTGGTTGACCTTGGATATTGTGCATACAGCAAGAGAAAACGAAAAACAAATCTAATTGGGATTCCCATGCTTTGTTTGGTCAGAAGCCGAGGAATCCGCTAATCTGGATTCAAGCCTCACCACAAGAGGTGAAGGACCACATGCAAATCTTTTTGTTACCCTCTACTCCCCAACTACCCCCAGCAAAAACATTTCCGATTATTAGTATTCATCAGAATCAGAGTTTTACTGCACTCCCACTCTGCATTTTCTCAATAACTGGAAATCTATTACTCCACGTTACTGCGTCCTTTTCATCTCAGTCTTCAGTGAAGACGTTACCCATGACTCAGTGGGATGCACGCCTACTTCAGAGTTTAAAAAGTCCCACTCAAATACAGAAACTGAAAATCAAAACTGACATTTCCATAGGACCGCTGAGGGACTGCAGTCTTTCAGGTGAAACATTAAGTCAAGGTCCCAGCTGTACTCAGACAAATGTAAAAGATGGCACTGCCTTATTTCAAAGAAGAGCAAGGGAAATTGCCATGGTGCTGGAGCCAATATTTGTCAATCAATCAACCAACATCAGTATAAAGAGATGATCTAATCATCATCAGATTAGAGGCTGAGAACATGTTGCAATCAAAATGGCCAGTGTGTTTTCTAGAGTGACTGCACCTCAAACTTAGCTTGCTCACTGTTGAGGCCATGAAAAATGCCAGAGATCCTTTCACATTTTGTACAAAAATACAAATCAAAAAGAACCGCAGAAGACAATATCACTAATGAGTTTCAGATAATACTCTCTTTTGAAAAAAAAATGCAAAAACAGCACCTCCATTGGACTCTTATAAGTAGCAAGACTTCAAACGTTTACTGATCATCTTACATATAAGATACTGACTGCCATTGAGATGTCAACAGCTTTTTTCTATTTCAGATCTGCTTCTGCATTTTTCTTGTATATAAGCAGTACCCACCTTAAATGCATTTACCACAGTCAGATGGTCACTCCGAGACTGCTTGGATAATTCTCGGCGTTTTGCATCGGCCAATTTCTCTTTACCCTGCCAGCAGCACAAAAACAAGCAGGTTAAACTCCAACATTTATTTGCTGAAGAAACATTTAAGTTTTTACAAAACTTTTGCTCCGTACAATGTTATTGGGGGATATGTCTACATCCTTCAAGAAGCAGTCTCAAATAGCGCACATTTCAACAGCCCCCCTGATACTTGATTATACTGAAACTGACTACATAACAGATTTAATTCAATGTATGAAACACTGAGGTATTGCGGTAACATAATCCAAGTGTTGTGTCATCATTTCTTTCTATTCAGCTTGTCCTAATGCAGTATTACAATGCTTGGAGTGAAACTGCCCGCAAAACGGCTAGGCCATCATTGAGTAAGAAAGGTGGAGATAGATCAACACCACTTTCCAAACAAAAAATCAAATGCACAAAGGCATCGAGCAAATCTAAAAAGCACAGAGGACCCAGATGGGACCAATTAGCCTGGAGTTGGTTCCACCATTCAATTACAGCATGGTAAGTCTGTGCCTTAATCCATCTTCCATGTTCCCATTGCCCTCCATTATCCTTGATCAATGCAAATCTACCAATTTCAGACATGAAATTTTCAATTTGTCCCAACATGATTTCAGGGAGGGAGTTCCAGATTTCCTCTAGTCCACACAAAGAAGTACTTCTTGACTGGTCTTGCTCTATTTTAATGGTTCTGGACACTACCTATCACGGGAAATATTTTATCTCTACCTACTGTATCAAATCATTGAAGTAAGCTTTAAGATCATCTTAATCTTCTAGACACAAGGGAGTACAAGCTAGCCTATGTAACACATTTTGATAAAGTAACCCCTTTAGCTCTTAAACAAAATAACCAAAGAATTGTGGATACTCGAAATTAGAAACAATATTAGAAATTGCTGGAAAAACTTAGCAGGTCTGGCAGTGTCTTTTTCAGAAGAAGGGTGACTGGACCCGAAACATTAACTCTGCTTTCTCTCCACAGATGTTACCAGAACGGCTGAGTTTTTCCAACAATTTCTGCTTTTGTTCCCTTCGGCTCTTGCAACGTCTTGGTAATAATTTTAATACTTTACCAATGGGATCACAAATGGATCCTTGAAACTGAGACTGGCTGCAATGGTAAGAACCGGATCCAGACAGCACAACAGTGCTCCAAACAGAATCATTTTCCCAATATGTGGTTCCACTGGCAAGCGAGCTAAGTGGACCCCAAGTGGAGTAAGCTCTTCATTCCTATCCAAAGCATTCTGTCAGAAAAGAAAAAAGGAAATTTAAAAATCTTCAGAACACTCTGCAGCTATCACACAATCTGTTCCTAAATGAAAACTAATGTAATTAAAATTTGCACCCTTATGGTCATAACCACATATGCACAAGCAGACGTTTCAGGGTTTTCCCCATGTTTTAGGTCAGTTTTGAAACATGCAGCCAAAAAGGAAACTGACAACACCATCCACTACCATCACAGGGTGGACTATCCACAACACTGACTGCAGCAACTTGCTCAGTCTCCTCCAACAGCCCCTTCCAAACCCTGTTACATCAATCAACTGGAAGGACGAGGTCAGCCTGCAGGGGAAACACCTCAGATGTCCCCTCAAAGTAACATCATCCTGATTAGGACATATATTGGCTGTCCTTAATCATCATTGGGTCAAACTGCTGGACTTCTGCCCGATAACAAAGAACAAAGTACAGTACAGCACAGGAACAGGCCCTTTGGCCCACCAAGACTGCACTGACACATGACATCTTGCTAAACTAAACGTCTTTTGCCACTACATGGGTCCATATCCCTCTTGCCTGCCTATTCAAAAATCTGTCGAGAAACTCAGACGTGGAGGATTGGACAAAATTATGGCTGTAAGAGCTGCTCCTTTTTTGAGGTCTTTTCAGTGTTAGAGCTGACTTCCTTGAATTCTAGGAGCAGTAATTACTGTTTTATAAGCTGTTTGACAATTACAACACTTAAAATGCATCTGGATGGATATATGGATAGGAAGGGTTTAGAGGGATATTTGCCTAATGCTGGCAAATCAGACTAGATTAATTTAGGTTATCGGGTTGGCATGGACGAGTTGTATAGCTCTATGATTCTATGGCTTTTAAATGTTGCTATTGTACCCGCCTCCTCCTCCTCCGACAGGACATTCCAAGCACTTGCCACATTCTGTATAAAAGACTTGCCTCTGACATCTCATTTAAACTTACATCCCCCAGCATTTCACTTTTCTGCCCTGGGAAAAAGGCACTGACTATTCATTTTATCCATGCCTCTCAATTTTGTAAACTTCCAACAGGTAATTCCTCATCGTTCAATGTTCAAGTGGAAACAAACCAGTTTGTCCAATCTCTTCTCCTAGCTAATACCCTCCAAACCAGGCATTATCCTAGTAAACTGTTCCTGTATCCTCTCCAAAGCTTCCACATCCTTCTGGTAGCGTGGTGACCAGGACTGTACACAATTTTCCAAATGTAGCCCAACAGAAGTTCTACACAGCTGTGAATTTTTATACTCTATGCCCAACTGATGAAGGCAAGCATGCCATATGCCTTCTATGCCACCTTATCCACTTGTATTGCCATTCTCAGTGAGCTGTGGACCTGTACACCTAGATCCCTTTGCATATTGATGCTACTAATTCTATCATATACTGCATACATCCCTTCCGCATTAGATCTCGCAAGATGCATCACCTCACATTTGTCTGGATTAACCAACAAATTTTGGAGTATTATAACCACTAGATCTATCATTGTTGCTGCCAATTCCTTTAAATGTCTAGGATGTAGGCCATCAGCCCCTGGGGACTTGTCTGCCTTCAATTCCAACAAATTGCACAGAGTCTTTTCCATACTAATGATGATTGTTCTAAGTTTTCCCCCTTAGAACAAAGAAATTTCCAGTACAGGAACAAGCCCTTCGGCCCTCCAAGCCTGCACCGATATGCTGCCCATCACAACTGAAACCCCCTACTCCTTCTGGGGACCGTAACCCTCTATTCCCATTCTATTCATATATTTCTCCAGATGCCCTTTAAAAGCCCTTCTATAACCTCTGCATTACTTGCTACTACTGGGATGATACTCGTGTCCTCTACTGTGAAATCCAAAGTGATTTACTGACTCTGCCATTTCTGTGTTCCTCAGTATTAACTTCTCAGTCTCATCCTCCAAAGGACAAAAATTCACTTTGGCTACTTTCTTCTCTTTCATATACCACAGAAGCTTTTGCATCTGTAAAGTCAGTATTCTGGCTCAATTTTGGTCACCATCAAGATGGTGATAGTAGGCCTTTGTTTTGAATTATCTGTGTGAAGAGGATTGTGACTCAAATTCCAGTTCTCGGACAGTTCCTAGAAAGAGAGAATAACTTTCATCAACTCCAAGATGACTACATAGTTCAATGCTGGATTTGCAAACCACACCATAGGTTGTGATGCTTGCATGCATCCAGTGATAAGCAGTACAAAACTGGTTACTGTGTGTCTTGGAGGAGATCTTGGAAGAGGTGGTGCTCTGATGAACTTGCTGCTATATCCTTTATGATGGTGAGTATCACTAGCTTGGAAGGAGGTGTGGAAATAACCTGAGTTATTACACTGCATCTTGTAGATAGCACCTTCTCTAGCTGCGAGGGTAAATAGAATGGTAAGGCACAAGGGACCAAAAAATTTCAAAAGGCTAACAACAAAGCGATAGGGCAATCTAACTCACAAAACTCAGCCTCCTTAGGAGATTACTCAAACAATATTTGACCATGCTGCCCTCTCAAGATAAATCAAACCCCACTCTTGCTCAGTGGTTTCAGGATGCAGCTGGAGAAATTCCTATCTATATGTGTCTCACTCCACTGCTTCCTCATGTCAGTTCAGATTTCCAGGGAATCAATAAGAACAAATTATTTCTAACAGCCTTAGAGTGGATAACAAGATGGCACAGATCTGAAGTAATTGGTAAAAGAACAACAAGCAACAGGAGGAAAATCTTTTATGCAATGAATTGTTAGTAATTAGAACAAACTGCTTGAGAAGAAGAAGAAAGATTCAACAGCAATTCTGAGGGACAGAGTTAATCTGCATTTGGAGAGACAGGGATTAATTAAGAACAGTCAGCGTGGCTTTTTTTTTTTTTTTTTAAGAAGGGAGGTCACCTCTGACCAACTTGATTGAATTTTTCCAAAGAGGTTACCAGGTGCAAAGATGAGGACAATGCTTTTGATGTAGTCTACATGGACTTCAGCAAGGTTTTTGCTAAGGTCCCATATGGGAGATTAAAAGCAAAGTTAAGAGCCATTAGATCCAAGGAAATTTGGCTCGATAGATCCAAAATTAGTTGAGTGGCAGGAAGTAAAGGGTGATAGTCGAAAGTCGTTTTTGACTGAAAGCCTGTGTCCAGTGGGGTTCCACAGGGATCAGTGTAGGGGCTCTTGCTGATATGTTATATATAGATGATTTAAGACCTGAATGTTGGAGGACTGATGAGTAAGTTCGTGGATGATATGAAAATTAATGTGGTGGTAGATAATGAGGAGGATAGCCTGACAATACAATAGGATACAGGCAGCCTGGTCAGATGAATTGATCAATGGCAAATGGAATTCAATCCAGATAAATGTGAAGTAAAGTACTTGGGCAGGATAAGCAAGGAATGGGAATACATAACGAGTGGTAGAACCCTGGAATGTCCTGAGGATCACAGGGACCTTGATATGCATATACACTGCTTCCTTAAGGTAGCAGGAAAGCTAGATAAAAAGTGGTTAAGAAGGAATACAGCATACATGCCTTTAATAGTTGGGGCGTAGAATTTAAGAGCAGGGAGTTATACTGTTACTTTTTAAATGTTGGTTAGATCACAGAATATTGAGTGCAGTTCCGGAGTCCACATTATAGGAGGGATGTGACTGCAATGGAGAGGATGTAGAGGAGATATATCCGAATGTTGCCTGAGCCGAACAGTTATAGCTACGAAGACAGACTGGATAAACAGGGGTGGTTTCCCTGGAGGAGAAGACACTTAGGGGGGACATGATTGAAATGTATAAAATTAAGGGCCGAAAAATAGGATAGAAAGGAAAGAACATCTCCCCTTGGTGAAAGGATCAATGACCAAGGTGCATGGGTTTAAGGTACAGGGCAAGAGGTTTACAGGGGATGTAAAGAAAATCCTTACATCCAGAGGGTGGTAAACTGACTGATTGTAAAAGGTGCTGCTGGCAGAAACCCTCATAATATTTTAGAAGTACTTACATGCGCACTTCTAATGCCAAGCGTACAAGGTTATGAATGAAAAATGCTTTTGGAAAAGTGCTTGCTTGCTTGTGACTGACAAAGATTCGACGGGCTGAAGGGTCTTTTTCTGTAATGGGGCCATAAGACCACAAGATATAGGAGCAGAAATTAGGCTATTCGGCCCATCGAGTCTGCTCCACCATTCAATCATGGCTGATAAGTTCCTCAATCACATTCTCCTGCTTTCTTCCCATAACCCTTGATCCCCTTGAATAGTTTTCAAAACGGAATTATTTGGATAACACTTGGCAGCCTAAAAAATTGCAGTGACAGCGGCAAAGGCAGGGAAGGACTAAATGGACACATTACCAAGGAGCCAGTAGAGACTAGATGAGCCAAAAAGTCTCCTACTGGGCTATAGTTTTCTGTGTTCCAAGGCTCAGGACTTGGGCTGCATGGGTGCAATCACTGTGGTGACAAAGGTAAATCACTTTGCAGTAATGGTACTGCAGTTCCACAGTTAACTAGCAGGAGCTATGCTTGCCTATTAGTCAACTGGCCCATTCCCTTCTAGTCGGCAAATACTTACCAGCTCTTTAAGATGGGTCACAGCCAGGTTAACAGCTTCCTTCGATGGAGGCTGCATTGCCTTCTCCAGGAATTGGGCAATTCGACCAAGATTTAAAATCTAAGGCAAAATTAAAAGCCCATGGTTAATGAACAAAAAAAAACTGCCACACAATGATGGAAGCTTCCTCAGTCAACATGTATCTTTTTAAATAACCTGTCTGATTGTAAGAGAAAATTCTGGTTGATTTACTACTTGCATCTTTAAACTGCTCTATTTACATAAAATTGGAATATCATTTAAACTGTATTTGAACTGTTTAAATAGAAGTTGAATAGCAGGCATTTCGCTTTGAAAGCCAAAATAGGCAAAGATAGTCTGATAACCTCCAGGAGTCAAATTTAAATTCCAGCCAGGTACAATGAGAATGAACGAACGAGTGAGCTAACCATCAACATCAAAGTCAGATGATATATGTTTTGAAAGGGCAGCAACTTACTAAACGTACACATCTGCAGCCAAGACAGATGATGATGTTTCTAACTCTGGTTACCATTAAATAAACAGGTCAAAAAGTCAAAACTTAAAATGCTACTCAAAAGAACTTTGAAAAACTGAAGATTTCCAGCCAACTTCATGCTGTATCATCCAATAACTGCAGACTATCACTAGTATAAGTGGGCAATACTGTCTGACCTGTTCTTTATGCAGGAGACCTTCTCTCTTTCTTTATCTCTCCCATCAGTTTGCTTTCATTTCTATATACCGCTATGCACAGACTGGGGAGACAACCAATTCACAGACTCTTAACATATTATGGATTAGTGGAACTCCCTTGGCATTGTTAGTAATAAGTCACGTAAGCGTGCATTCTTTTTTTTTTTCAATGGAGCTTGAAGTCTCTGCTCTTCATGTATTTCAACACTCCATCCATCATGACTCTTCACTCAGAATTTCTGTTCTAAATTACTCCACCTGATTGCACCTTTCCTGCTCTTCAAAAGAGTGGTTTTTAAACTGTGCCTTCTTCCATCTCCAGTAACTTGTAAGCAGTTACCTCAAACTTAATGTTCAAACACTCTCTTAAGCGAAGCAACATGAGACCTTTCACAATTTGAAGGGAATATGTACACATTGAAAACAGTGGAAGGTGGGTCCAGACAGATTTCTAAACAATAAAGAAGTTAAGCTTTACTAGCAGGACAGGATCTAAATTTCCAATGACTGGACTTATCCAATACCATAACCATCAGGCTATGAACGCAGAGAATTAGTAACTCGACAGATCACTAAACCTGTTGCAGACACTACAATAGCAGAAACAACATGACTAAAGTATTTCTTTACCCCTACCACCACACAAATATTTAATATTCCGAGTAAGTAAAAAGTAGGAAACAGTGCAGGGCAAATAAGGGAAAACATACAGTGAAAAATTCTACTCCGACCCCCTCAATCCAGAAGACTAGAATCAGTGACTAAGACACTGAAATAAGGCTTGTTTGCTTCTTCACATCAATATTACAAACTGCACTGGGAGCTCAGGATCATGAATCATTAGACTAAAAGGACTTCAGATCTTTCTACAGAGGTCTTCTCTTTTATTCTAGGTTCCTATTCAGGAATAGGAAATAATGATAATGTCACAATATTCACATATAATTAGCCGGTTTGGCTGACAATGGACAAGATACTTTAAATTACTCCACCTGATTTGCACCTTTCCTGCTCTTTAAAAACTACTCTTTTGAACTGTGCTTTCTTCCATCTCCAGTAACTTGTAAACCGTTACCTCAAATTTAATGTTCAAACACTCTCTTAAGCAAAGCAACATGAGACCTTTCACAATGTGAAAGGAATATGTACACATTGAAAACAGTGTGACAGGCTGACAATGGACAAGATATTTTATTTTAACCTTGATCTGCAAGCAAAGCTCTTCAAGTGGAGTCCTCATGATTTCTGGAAGCTGATAATCATCCAGAAGGCTCTCTCGCAAACCATTGTACAAGTGGTAGCATGAACCTGGCTGCACCCTAGGAACAGACAACAATCAAAAAGTTTAGCTGGTTATCAACAAGGTAAACAGCGAGCTTCAGTTTCTCTGCAGATTAATTCATTAAAACTGCAATCTGACAGTTGCTGGCCCCTCTAGACAGTGGAACACAATTCATTCTATATGTGAGCCTCAAGAAGCAGGCAAAAGACTATGCTTAATACAACCAGTGAGCTTAGATCAATATGCAGTATAAGCAAACTTCAAACCATCGATTTACAACCTCAGTTGCTGATTATTCAACAGGCTTCATTGAAGGGCATTCTTGCTTTCAGAATTTGCAAGTACTTCATGTTAAGAAGCTGAATAATTAAACTTCTGACTCTGAGGATCGATAAAAGAATTAGGGTTGCAACAGATGAGAACTGAGCAAGTCATGATTCAAAAGAAAGAACAAAGGAACTGATAAAATATACTAAATCCTCGTTTTTCATAGGGAATAGAGCATGGACTGCCCAAATACAACAAAACACAGATACCACTCCAACATAACCACACAAATGACTGCATGATCAGATCAGACAAGTCAATGGGAAAGGTCCATATGAGGTCTGGGATCGACCTCATGAGTACACAAATCTGCAGGTAACAAATCAGTGGATGAGGAGGATTACAGTAACATCCACAAGGGAAAACTTGCAGAGCTACACAGAGCAAGGGCAGGAGAAAGGGAATGATTTAGATGGCACTTTGAAGCAGCCAAGACAGATACAATGGGCCAAATGGCTGTCTTAAATGATATTGTCACCTGGAGAGAGGAAAGTGGCACTTACATGGCATCTGTAATACTGAGGCCTAGAGATGCAGTACTAAAACAAAATCTGACACCAGGCATCTCCTTCACTTGATTGCGCCAAAGAGTGGGAAAAGAACAGTATATTTCAGGATCTGCTTCACAGATCGGATTACAACAATTTTTTTTTAAACACAACAGATTTGCCTGTATTATTAGTTTGAACAACTGCTTAGGTAAGGGGTGGCCAACTTAAAGCCACCTCTTTCGGAGACCCAAGAGCGGGAGTCAAAGAACTTTGGGGGAAAAGAGGCCTCAACAAAAAGAAGTGCGAGAATTATCAGATGTGGATTTTCGGCTTTCGTGGACACCAAAATATTTGATTGCATTGGAAATATGTTCATTTAGTTCCCACCGCCTCCAGATATTGCAGTAGTCAGGAAGTGGAAGAACAGAGAATGGAATAGTAAAATTATTTGCACAGTAGAACATTCTTCACTCACACTACTCAAAGAATTACCAATATCCAGCATTATCAACAGGGTTTTAATTAAATTTAGGACAGGTAACATACATAATGGAGCATGATCCCACAAGTACTTTGTTGGGGTGCTTTTGTTATTCTCTCAGAAATCTAAGGTCTCCTTCCAACCAGGTCCGAAAGCACAGCACCTACCCCCATTGATTAGTATCATTGGCAAAATTTGGGAAAATGTAGAGCACTTTCCATATCTCAAGGGCATCTCCTCTCAACAAAGGCAGACAGAGCATATAAATCAATATCACTCTCAATAAGCCTGCTCAGCCTTTGGCCAACTGAGAAGGGAATTTGAAGATCAGGTTTTCAAACCTGAGGCCATGGCCATGGTATAGTGGGCAGCAGTGATACAACACTCCGCTTTGCACTGGAGACTATGATATTTCAAAATAGTACCTTTCCAATGCATTACCTATCAGCAGCCCCATCACAAGATTCTTCAATCTGCAGTCAAGGAAGGCTGTCTAGCAGCAGCATCCACTCCTAAGCCAACTTCCCCAGCATCATGACACTGAACTCCTAAAGAACTTGGAACTTATTCGCAGCAACAGACTCCCAAGAGCAGAGAGGAAACACCTTAGGAATATCCCCAACATCCCAGAAGAAGTATAACATGACAACAGCACCAACCAGCGTTCCCAGGAAGGCACCAAACACACCAACAACTTCACAATCAATGTAATAGAGAAAGCACACAAAATTTCAAACATTATCTGTATAACCCTTCAAGCATTGCCAGCTTACATGTAGAGGGTTCAGCAGATCATACTAAAAGCAAAGCAAAAAACTGCGCACGCTGGAAATATGAAACAAAAACAGAAATTTCTGGAGAAACTCAGTATGTCTGGTACCATCAGTGGAGAGAAAATGGTTAATGTTTTGAGGCCCATGACTATCAGATGAATCAGACTGGACTGAAAATGCTGTTTTCTGAGTTTCTCCAGCAATTCCTGTTTTGGACTTTAGATCACATATTTGATTTACCAGCCACTTCAGAGTCCATTAAATGGAGTGGAAGTAGGTCATCCTTAATTCCAAGGGACTATCAAGATTGAAGACACAAAGTTCTGCTTCACACAGATGTGACCCTTATCTTAATAATAAATGTTATGCCACACAAGGCATGAACTGAGTTAGTTTTTACCTGGTGCCACGAGGTCAGACCCCAGATCCAGATTTAGATATTTCTGCATTGAAAGGGCACATCAGTGTGAAGTGTGATACATTGCCCCATGGCACAGTTGCAATGTGAATGCACTGTCACTCAAATTTAGATACCATGTGCAATTTATGTTCAGCAAGCAACTCGTTTTAACTTATTTTGGGAAATAAAATTTTGTTCTCTCAACTGTTGAGAAAGTTTATAAAGAGCACTAATCCGAATCAGGTTGTTGTGCTACAAGAGGAGAAAACAAATTTAAGACAGTCAAATGCCAGTGATTCATAATTTTAAAATAGGCTTCAAATTAGAACAGGAAGCAATAGTACTATGCAGTAGAAGTAACTAATTCAATAATGTGAATCAGATAGATAACTTTCAATCAAAGCATAACTATGTTAAACGCTAATGCACCAAAACATAATATGAAACACAGCAATGCATCATTGACCTTTATCTTGCAAAGAATTAGAACAGCAAGATTCAGCTTCCTTACACGACCAGTGGTAAGGAAGCTTTTGACCATCTAATTACATCATCAGGGCTCATCCTGCTGACTTGTTTCATAACAAGGCTCTGGTACACAGCTATACGGTGCAAGCAGACTACTTTTTGATTACTTTCCAGTAGTTGAAGACTTTAAATTACTTATATTCACTACATTCATACACTTCAGCCAGTTTTAGCATCAGTACAACCCAATTTCCAGCACCAGTGTATATGGAGGCAAGGACTGTTATACGTCCTTTTTAAAGCAAATCTAAGGATATAAAGAAAGCACAGACAAATGGGATGAAAACAAATCAGCTCCAATTGAAGAGTTAGCACCAACATTAGCATAATGGGCTGACACAATTCCAGACACAATTGCATAAAATCTTAGGATTACTAACTGTGCTCTGAAAGCTTAGCAGAATAATCCACGCTGACTACAACAATATTATCAAAACAAGCAAATGACATCTGTGACATTCCTTTCAAGTCCAGTCAATGGCAGTGACCTTTAACTCTGCAAATATCCACAGACCACAGTGTGCACTGTAGATAGCTTGTTTATATGACATTTTGTCTAACACACATTGACAGACAAGGATACACTACCTGCCAGCTCGACCTTTCCGTTGCTTGGCATTAGCTTTGCTGACCCACTCTGCTGCCATTGTGCTGATATTGTTTTGAGTGTCAAAGTGAGTTTCTTTTATCTTTCCTCCATCAATCACATGAACCACATCATCTATGGTGATGCTGAAAGATAAAAACAAGTTCCATGATATTAAGAATATCCTTATTTAAGTAAGGAAACCATAGCTACGTGCTTCAAATCAACAATATATTCAAATTTTAATATACATATCATGGTATACATCAGTAATTAAATAAAAGCAGAAATGCTGGGAGAATACACAGGTAGCCTGTTGAAGATTTGCTTTCATTTTGCAGCTTTTCATGTCTCAGAGAATTATCAATGATTTACAGATGCTGTTTTACTTTCAAATACAGTTTAAGAAAATAAATCAAAAAGGAAACAGAAAGGAAATGGAATGACCCAGGTAAAACTATTTTGATGTAGGAACCATGTCAGTTTTTGGGCCTTTAATAAGTGTGGACTGCAAGGAGAAAGAACTTTTAAAAACAAAATTTACCACAATGGCTGCATAATTTGGGTTCCTGCAATGCGCAGATGATCAGGAGCCAAGGAGTTGTTTACAAATGAAGTCGATTTAGTTCTCAGCTAACTGAGCAAGATGGAATGAGAAAGATACAGAGACATGACACAGAGAGTGAGAGGCACAGAAGTGTGTGCAGTTGTTCTCCCCAGCAGCTAGCTGTTTCCTGCTGTAAAACACAATCAGTTTAAATGTGGAAAACCAATAATTACTTTTCAGGCAGCAACTGCTGCAAGCTATGACTTTCAATTGATAAATCACAGACATTTTACAAGTGAATCAATTGCTCTGTATTTCTTACAAACTAGTAGTGGAAGCTTTCAGAGAAAAACAACTGAACCCCAAGGCCTTCGCCTATCGAAGTATCCAATTGGCTAGCTCCCCCTGCATTCCATGTGATTTTTTTTTTCCCCCATGGTAGAGTCTTATTCCTCAAGCAGGGAAGTCCAAAGCTACAGGGTGTAGGTTGAAGGTGAGAGGAGAAAGATTTAAAAAGGGACCTGAGGGGCAACATTTCAAGCAGGAGGTCATGCATGTACAGAACAAGCTGCCAGAGGTGGCAGTAGAGGCAGGCAATTACAAGATTTAAAAGACATCTAGATAGGTACATGAATAGGAAGAGTTTAAAGGGATATGGGCCAAATGCTGGCAAATGGACTAAATCAGTTTAGGATATCTGGATGGCGCGGACGTGTTGGACTGAAGGGTCTCTTTCCGTGCTGTATAACTCGATGACTGAGATGACGTGCTCCGACAACACAAAGAGCTTGACAACATCCAGGACAAAGCAGCCCACCTGAGTGGCACCCCAAACCCCACGTTCAAGATGTACTCCCTTCACCACTGATGCACAGTAGCAGCAGCCTGCAGTTAAATCACCAAGGTTCCTGCAATACTTCCAAAACCCATTACCACATAAAAGGACAAGGGCAACAGATGCATGGTGTCAGCACTCCATCTAATTTTCTGTTTGTGCAGGCATTTGAGGTCAGTGCACGGCAGCGACTTCTGGAATGGGAAGTCAACTGCACAATCCAAACGTTGACCCCGATCGCTGTGGACAGAACCTCAAACAGGTCGCATGTACATTGGGTCACGCAGCTTAGAGGGAATGTTGCATGGTGTTATATGTCACTGGGGTACTGTGCTATAAATCAAGAGTTATTCCCAGAGTTGTCACAAAAATTACAGATTTTGAGAAGTAGACAATATTCTCCAATTTACCTGTCTTTTAGATTCAAGTTGACCAGGTGTCCGTACTTAACAAGAATGACTATTTAATACAAATAAATAGATTCTAACTACAGATAAACAATGATGAACCTGACATATAACTCTACTAGCTACATTCTAACCCTCTTATAAAAACGTCAATACTCCCTGACCTCAGAGTTCGTTTAGATTTTGTTTGGCTTGTCAGGATGCAGCTACTTGATCTTCCTTCTCCAGATACTTTTGCTTGCAGAAGACGCAAGGCATATGTTTGCACTTATAAAGTCTCTGATTCAAAGCCACAGCTTATAATTACTTTTGAGGAAAAAACAAACTGGCTTTCTTTAGGCTTGAGGTGTTTTCTACTGCAGCAGAGGCAGCTCTTTCAGAGATTTGATGCTTCCGCTTCAAACACTCTCATCTACAAGCTGTCCAGTTATCTTGGAGTCAATCAAGTTGTTAGGAGACAGAAGACCTTTGTTATCACGTCAATCTGCTATTCGTTGCTGGCCAAAGCTGCATTCACACATACACCTTGGCTTCAGCTTGTCTGCAACTAGACTTTTCCCCAGCGCTTGAACTTACTGCACTTAAAATGAGTGTCAGTTAACTTCCTTTTTTAAAAACGCAATCTTTCAACCATCCTTGGCTTTTAAAACAGTCCTTTTCCCTTGTCAGTCCAAAACTACAAAACACAGAAAAGTAAAAATGTCTAGAACACCATCACCTGCTAGATCCCCGCCAAGTCATAAACCATTCTGACTTGGAAGTATATCACCATTCTTTCACTGTCACTGTGTCAAATTCCTGGAACTCCCTTCCTAACAGCATCATTGGTCTCAAGACTTGCAGCAGTGCACAATGGCAGTTCAAGGGCAATTAAATTTGGGCAATAAATACTGGCCTAAGCATAAAAAACTCACATCTGATTAACACATCTAAAATCTACTAATTTAGCCATTTGGAGTCCCGAATAATCGAGCACTCTCCTTGTCCTGCCTACAGGAGTGTCAGCTTCGATTTAGGGCTCATAGCCTGGAGGGAAGCTTAACTGCACAACGTTCATTCTTTAGGGGAACGTAAGCCAAAATGTTAATCGTTTTTTGTCCTCCTTAAATTGAAACAGTCCCAAAAAGTGTATGTCAGTCATTTGGATTTTCAGTTGAGATTCACACACCTTGCAGTTTTTAATTTCATTTATCATGTATTGGCTTAAAACAATTGTAATGACATAATTTTAAAATTATGTCAAGAAATATGATTCTCTCTTTTCCACTGTGATTACAAGTTTGTACTTCTACAGTAGGAGAAGTGAAGAAAGTCAAAACTGTAGATGCACAACTCAAGGGGACTGTGCAAAATCTGTGCCATCTACTGCTGGCTTCTTTCTATCTCGTTTCAGTTATTTCTCCACAAGTTACACCTGCATTTCAGGGATACCAAATCAGCATACAGAAGAAAGGAATAGAAGGACAAACTGATAGAGTTAGATTAAATAAATAGACTGGGGGTAGACTTATGTGGAGCACAACACCAGTCCAGACCAGCTGATCTATATCACCTGCTTCTTCACTGTACACTCGATGCAACTCAATTTTCAACTCTGCTACTTCACAATCAGAACCACAAGCAAGCTATCACCAATTGCAAGCTGTCAATTGATTTCCTAAATAAAGTTCCGAGGTTACTAATCAATACTTAGATAACTTACAAAATTCAATTATCACAAACATATTCATATTCACAGGTTTAAATAAACAGAAACATGGTCAGTGAAATATTCAAAAGAAAATGAGTTCCTTCTCTGAATACTGTAGTTTCAGTGTCATATAAAACAGCATTAAATTGGCAAACAGAAAATTAATTCAGAGGCCATAATATGGAAGGTGGTGGGGAGAAGTGAAAAATTTCAAGTTCTGAGGGTTCTGAGGAAAGGTCACCAGACCCAAAACGTTAACTCTTTTTTTCCTGCACGGATGCTGCCAGACCTGCTGAGCTTTTCCAGCAGCTTTGTTTTTGTTAAAATCTTTAGTCTTCAACTTTGAGTACATTTTCCAGAGAGACAGTTGGACCTATGAATATCTTATGTCATTTATGCACAGATCTCATGATGCAGTTAGCGAACATTTTGAAATGCCAACCACGAATAATGTATACCAAGGGTAGAAATCAGTGATGCCAAAGTGACTGTTCTCCCTAGGATGAACTGCGTTATTGACTTTTAAAACCAACAGAGAATTTTTACTTTTATGCCAGAGCCACAACTTAGAATGCACCATCTAAAAGGGTAGTTGAGCAGATTTGGTAGTAACTTCCTGAAGAAACTGAGATATGAAAATAAAACAGAGTACTGGGAAGGGAATGGGATTAATCAATGTAATCAAAGAATTGACAAAGTTAGAATAGGCCAAATAGACTCCTAATTTGCTGTGTGATCCTATGAAGTGAACACAATGGTACATTTTACACACAAACTCAAGTATGCATATTGTACTGAACAGCTAGTTTTGCTCATCACCCTAAAGTCTACAAGGGTTTTTTGTTTTCTTTATTCATTCATGGGATGAGGGCATCGCTGGCTGGACAGCATTTATTGACCATCCCTAATTGCCTAGAGTGCAGTTGAGAGTCACCCACATTGCTGTGGATCTGGAGTCATATGTAGGCCAGACCAGGTAAGGATGGCTAATGTCCTTCCCAAAAGGACATTAGTGAACCAGAAGGGTTTTTCTGACAATCGGCAACAGATTCATGGTTATCACTAGATTCTTAATTCAAGGTATTTACTGAATTCAAATTCCACCATTTGCCATGGCAGGATTCAAATCCAGAACATTATCTTGGTCTCCGGATTAACAGTCCAGTGATAATACCACTAGGCCACTGCCCCCCTTATTGTATTTCTAATCATTTTTTGATCAAAAAATAACTTTAGTACCACAAAACTAAAGAACATTCCAGTCCTATAAAGGCATCCTTCAATACAGCAATTATCACACATCCAGATACAAAATACAAAAATTTTTTTCATGCATCAAATCCATTATACAAACTCAGGAGATTTTAGTTTCAGAAAAAAACTGCCCACACAAAGAATAGCAATGAGACTTCAGGAGATCTTTAGGTGAGATCAGCAGACAGTAATCAAGATAATAGTTGTGGCTTTGAAAGAAAAGCCTCTTCTTGGGGTATGAGAAATTTCAACACAATAGTTTGTCTGAGGCAGCTTGTTGATAATGGATTGATGCTGAACACTAGTTTAGAAAAAAAACGTTATATTCCAATGCTTTTTGGTACAGAACTGAAAGACAAAATTTCAAAGGGATGATCCTTTTGAAGAGGGAGACAGACTGAAAGCAAACCTCAAGAATCAGCGGACTCAAACAAGGTTAGTTAAGAATGCATTGGGTGTTCTCTGCAAGAAATGATATTCCATCTGCAACTGAAACAGTGATGCTGGAAGAAAATATCTGATGACTGAACTCATTCCTTCCAATGGGCTGTATGAGCTTTCCCATTAAGTTGAACCAGTTAAACATATCAAAGAAGAAAAAAATACAGGATGTGGGAAAAAAAGACCAGGATATAAGACTGAAGCAATTCATATTAATTCATATTCAGAAAACTCAATTCTACACTAAGTGAATCTGAGGTAAAACCAAACTACTGCATAAAAATGCAAATCTAGCAACAAGGAAATTTGCACTTCATTCTGTGTAAAGCTCCTCTCAAGACATCCAGCAGTGGTGACAATCGTTGTGAAAGGACAAATCTTCATTTTTACCTGATGTGTATTATAAACAGCTAATTTTTTTCAACATTCAGCAAAGAATTCATGAATACATCACTGCTTAAAGATCATGGCATTAAGGCAGATTTACTGAGAAACAGTTTAGAGAATCCCAGGAAATTCCCCAAGCTGTAAACCTCATGAAACTTCCAAGGCAAAACTGAAAACTTTGGAGTGTATTTAAAGGGAACTCGACAGGGAGCAGAATATATGTCTTTGCCCTACTGTCTGATTACATGGATTTTCAAAAGTCATTTGCAGAAATGTCTCCCACTGTGGCTGCAACAATGCAAGTTATATTACCTTGTCTCTGCAATGTTGGTAGCAATTACAATCTTGCGAACTCCCGGTGGCGGCTTCTTGAAAACCTGAGAATATAACCACACTAAATTATACCAAGTCTCCTCCATATCCAGCAGTCAAATTATTATCTGTTGACAGCATGCAATTTAATTGTAAAGTGATGTGATCAGAAACAGGTTTCACTGTTTCAGATGGCTCAATCATTTCTTCCACTAATGCATGAAGCCAAAGAGATACATTATTAGTTGGAAAATGACAGTTGTTGTCATTTTCTGCAAAATGAAGTGCAATAAAACATCAGTTTAGCCAGTCAACTATTTTTGTTTGCTGCCCAGCATGTGCTTTTTACCAATGTTAAGCTGTCATACAATTTTCTTTCTTATGGAGAGCAAATCTTTTGCAGATTTATGTAGATGTTTCTAATGTAATGACCTTAGGCTTTGGTATCCACACATCTGCAACAGCTGCCATTTGTAAAACAAAGAAGTTAGATATATTTTGCAGGAAGATCCAGAGGACTAACAAGCAACTTAAACCTTAAATAGCTCTGTGGTCCTTTGTAATTGTTAATGTGGGCTGAGAATGTTATCTCAGAAATTACTCTTGCATTGCAAAAATACTCTTTGGTTTCTGATTATTCATTAGAGATGAGATATTTCTTATGATCACTTCTCTACACAGTAACAGGAGGATGCTATTATGATCCTAGCTAATGGTAATATTACACCAATCAGTAATGTCAGAGTGAAACCTGTCTTGGCAGACCATGAATTTCATTGTTTGCTATTTGTTTACCATTGTTGTCAGTTACTCAACATATTCACAAGACACTGCCAATTTACTTTTAACAAAAAGAACATAAAAGTTTACGATACACAAAAGAAAATATGAACTATGTTGAACTATGAACTACACAGGAACTATTTGAAACAGTTTTCTCAAATAGCAGAAAGGTAGCTTCAACCCTTTTATCCTCAGAACTACAGACACACAAACTTCAGAAAAGCGTCACCCTGTCCTCACGTTAAAGCTTTTATTAGATTTCTGCATGCACTCAATGCTATTTTCTTTAATTATAATTTCCAAGACTCTTAAGCTGCTAAAACAGTTCACTTATTAATCAACATGGATTCCTTAAATTCTTCACTTCCACACTCTTCTGCTTCTGAAGTTTTCTTTGAAGCAATTCAAGATTTCTTGCCCAGCCCTGACTATTTTGGAGACTGCTAAACTAACACCTTTACTACTCAAGAACTTTGCTCTCTGACACAACCAGCTTCTGCCTGGCTTGTTCTGGATGGTTCTAACTTACAGGACTCCTGTCATTGGTCAAAAGTAAGTAACTTTCTTTTCTTCTACATTGTCTTTTTAATTATGCACTGAACTATTCACCTCTAAAGGTTTTAGACCTCATTTAAATGCATGTAAACAAATCTCCGGACACCCCAATACCACTTACAGGACCAACTTAAAATCAAGCTAAAATTTTAAACTACTAAAGCCCCTTAAGATACACAATAAAGAAACATCAAACTTAAAGCTATACATCATTCTTCCACTTTAGACCCCAAGTATTCAAACGATAATATAGTAACTCTCCTCAAAAAGTAAAAACAGAAACACGTCAACCATTATTAAAGAAAGCCTTGAACGAATCCTCACTGTCATTGATAGATTTCTATGCTTCCAATGAGAAACAGAAAAGGGAGGCCTTGTGACACAATGTGTAGCTTCACTGCCTCTGAGCTAGAAGCTCAAGGTTCAAGCTCTCCTCCAGGACATGATGGCCAAAGTTACATTCATAATGTGGTCAAACAGACGGAGTATCAACTTGCCAATCCTGGCAAAGCACACCAATGACATGTATTCAGGGCAGGAGACCTTCCTGGTCAGTCACTTACTGGAAACGAATTGGAGCTTCTAACATCTGCCACAGTTCCAGGCTGCAATATGGATATAAAAGTGCATGTTGCCACATTTCTTGAAGACCAAATGGTTCAGTTGGTTGGATGGCCAGTGCGCCAATAGCATGAGGCTTGATCCCGCCTCTGATTGAGGTGGATTTTGGACTGGATTCCTCAACCTACATGCAGTGGAGGTTGTGTCAACGTGGGTCAAACCTACCATTGAGTAAAGAACTCGAAAATAAGAAGTTTACAATAAGCAGCTCAAGCAGCTTATTCCAATATTGAAAGAAAATAGTTTGCACAGGGCATGAACACTGACATCTAACATATTAGAGATAAAAAAAATTCAGGCAGTCATTAAACCTTAAGACCCACATTTGTCAGCATGCTATCATAGAGTCATACAGCACGGAAACAGACCCTTCAGTCCAACCAAACCTTGCCAAAGATAATCCCAAACTAAACTAGTCCCAACTGCCTGGTCCTGGCCCCGGCCCCTAACTCTCCAAATCTTTCTTATTCATGTACTTATCCAAATGTTTTTGAAACATCATAATTGTACCCACATCCACTACTTCCTCAGGAAGTTCAATTCACTCTTTAAAAAAAGTTCCTTTTTTAAAAGGATCTCTTTTCTCTCACCTTAATGTGCCCCCTAGTCTTGAAATCCCCTATCCTAGGGAAAAGGCAACTACCATTAACCCTATGTATACCCCTCATTATTTTATAAACTTCTGTAAGGTCATCTCTGAACCTCCTACACTATGGTGAAAAAAGTCCCAGCCTGTCCAGCCTTTCTTTATAACTCAAACCTTCCATACTCAGCAATATTCTGGTAAATCTCTTCTGACTAGATTAATAATGTCCTTCCTGTAACTGGGCAACCAGAACTAGACACAGTTAGAGTCGCTTGCAATGCCCTTCCAATGAGCAACAACTCTGATTAAAAAAATCACCTTTTGCTGTGCAAAATGTTGTTTTACATTAGATGTCAGATTCTATTATAAAGGAACATTGGGTCTCTGCATAGTTACAAATTATAACTGTGTCACCCATTTCACAAGCAGAATGCAGAGAAATAGGGGCAAATAAGAAGGAATCATACATGATCATATATCAAACAAGCTTTAAGATTCATGACAGAACATATTTTACAATAAAAAAAACGCAACAGAAATTGATTAGAAACTTACAGCACAGGTTGGGAATGTTCAGCCCATCTTATGAGCGCCAGGTCTTTGAAAGAACTATTGAATTTATTCCCCGTAGCCGAGCGAAGAAGGTTAACACAGAAGTAGTCAAAAACAAACTATTTTGATAGAGCAAATAAAGAAAAAGCTTGTAGTAGAACAGCTCAGTAACCAGATTTAAAGGCAAAAACAAAAAATGCTGCAATACTCAGTATGTCCAACAGCATCTATGGGCACAGAAACCAAATTAACATTTTAGTTCCGACAGTAGATCAGATATCAAACATCAACTGTTTCTCTCTCCATGGATGGTGCTAGGCATGCTGAATATTTCTAACATTTTCTGTTTTTATTTTGGATTTTCAGTATCCAGTGTGCTGCTTTTGAAAAACTTGGGGTGGGCTTGCAAATTGTCCCCTCACAGTGAATTGTAATGATCTGGAAGGCACTGTTCAAAACGAACAAGTACATTCAGTACACTTTTTAAAAGAAATCAACCACACGTTTGAAGGAGTCAAGATTGCAGGGCCAAGGGAAAGATGAGGAAATTATAAATAAATGGATAACTTCTTCATAAAATCAACACTGATGGGCCAGATGGCAGATGGATGAATTATGTTTGTTCCAGATAACCTGGAACTGAAAAACAGCAACAAAATGGTGGCTTTAACCAGGAAATTAGTCACAAATGGACAAAACATTCTGTACAAAATAATTGGGCTATTTGAACCATTTGAAACAACTGTTCAAGTGATGAGGAAATGCAGATATTGCTTGGTTTAGTAACGTTTAATGTATAGTATCATACCTCTGTCTGATTCACTGAAGGCATGAGAGAATGGAGAGGAATGATCACAAACCGATCTAGGGGAATAACAGAGTACAGAATTAAAGTCACTTGAAAGAACAGAACTTAGTGGTCATGCTGTTGAAAATTTTCATCCTACACTCACCAGCACGGGCACAAGAATACCAAATTTCAAAGGCAATAATTTCTACAACACAAGGAACAGGGTATGACTAGTTGGTAGATAGAGTCAGATCCTCGATGAGTATACCTCAACCAATGTACCAGGGAGTGTTACCTCAAAATTTTTGTTCGAATTCAAAAAGGCAAATCAACTCTGGTTGGTCACTAGGTCATCGGGATCGTAGCAGGAAAGACTACACCCAAGCTTTTGTTTAACAGATGGGGCACAAGGCCTGGAAAAATTCCTTTCATCTGCAGAGCATCTTGATTTGCACCGCATTGGTAGTAGACGGGCTTCAAGGAGTCAGGAGGTCAGTTACTCGCTGCAGAATTCCTAGCCTCGGATCTGCTCGTGGCCACTGTATTAATCGGGTTATCCAATTCAGTTTCTGGTCAATAGTTACCTCCGGAATGTTGATAATCACGGATTCAGCAATGCTAACGCCACCGAATGACAACAGATGGTAGTTAGATTTTCAAATTGGAGATGATCATTGCTAGGTACTTGTGTGGCACTAATGTTACTAGCCATTTGTCAGCTCTTGTCAGCCCAAATCTGGATACTGTCAAGGTCTTCCTGCATTTGGATTTGACTCCAAGTACTGAAGCAGTCTCCAAATGATGCAATCATCAATGAATAGTCCCATCTCTGACCTGTTGGTGGAGGGGAAGTCATTGATGAAGCAGCTGATGTTGGGCCGAGGTCACAATCCTGAAGAATTCCTGCAGCGGTGTCCTGGAGTTAGGATGACTGACCTCTAACTACCACAACCACCTTCCTCTGTGGTAGTTATGACTCCAACCAACACTTTCCCAGATTCCTATTTGCTATGGTTCCTTGATGCCGTATTAGGTCAACTGTGGCACTGATGCTAAATGCAGTTGGTTTCATTTTCCTTCTCAAGTTCAGCTCGTTTGACCATGTTTGAACTAATGTTGTAAAAAGATCAGGAGCTCAGTGGCGCTGCTAGAGCCCAAACTGAACATTAATGAGCAGGTTATTGCTAAACAATTGCTACACAATAGCACTGTTGATGACTCTTCCATCAAAGTATTATGACTAACATTAAAATGTTTGAGGATCAATGTGTCCCCAGCCTTCCTCCCACAGGGAAGCTTTGAAACAGAACTTCATTCTGAATGGCATTACGCTGCAGCAAGTACGAAGTAGATTTTTGGGGTGTTAGGTTTGGTTTGGGTGCTCAATTTAAAAACTCTTTCTGTTGAGATGCATCAGAAAGGGCATTTCATTGCAGAAAGAACTTAAGACATAACAATTCCCTAAAAATTAACCGTCATCAGAAAATGGTACTGCAATACTGTTACCTGATTTGAACATGGTTTGTGCAGTCAGAAGATCGTTTAAGGTGCTGATATTGTCCCATCCAGGAAGGAAGACTAAAATGGCACCATCCTGCAAAGTGAGGGACAATCCAGATAAATATGCTGTTAGATTAGCTGCAAACAAAAAGATGCTATAAGAAGGATACTTGACAGATTTTTTTTTAAAATAGTCTGCAATACCTTAGAAGTCCAGCAATTTTACCATGTCAGATTACGAGTAAGGAGAAAATATATCACAGTGACTAAATCAATAAACTAGAGCATCTCACTAGTTTATATTCACACCATACACTACTGGCTTCCAAACAGCAATAATTCAAAACATAAAAACAGTGTTACAATATCGTTTTCTGAATAAGGGTCCCGACCCGAAACGTCAACTTTCCTGCTCCTCTGATGCTACCTGGCCTGCTGTGTTCATCCAGCTCCACACTTATCTCTGACTCCAGGATTTGCAGTTGTTACTATGTCCGAGTTACAATATCTTTGTTATTTTATTTGCATGGTTATTACAGAATACAATAAATTGAAAAAACCCTTCTAAAGATACTGCAGATCATTTGACCTCAATTTATGCTCAACCTTTATTAGTTAGTATTGTTGCATATTCCCAGATGACCACATTGAATGTTTGAGAGATCATGTAGAAAATGGATACTCGATGAGGCAAACTATTTAGAAAAAAAAAAAATCAATCAACAGAATGTTTAGAAATATTGAAGAAAGAAAGATGGATCTCAACAATGAGCTTCTGTCAGTGTAACGTTGTTCCTATCTAGTCACCAGGATTTCTGTTCCTGCCACTTTCGCAAGTTAAAGGGGCAGCATTTGCAATAGGGAACAAATTATTTCACTTGGATCTTAACCCACCCATCAGCCATCTCCAATTAAAAATACTAACACGACAACACAAAAATCCCTCAGTTGGGTTCAGTCTCATTGTTTGTCAAATATCTCCAGCATTTCACTAATTTTTGGCAATTGGAAGTGCACTTAGAGGTCTTCAAACGAATACGGTGCAACAGTCCAAAAGTTCAACATCTTCAACAGGCTACTTTAACAGTTTAACCCTTCATCAAATGATATCATTGGAGTTTACAGCTGCTTTGTCACAGTTATACGAATTATTGCACAGAAACGTTCAGGACAGAGGTAAGGAGTGTTACACCTCAATTTGAATAAGTGCAGCAAAGGAAATTTCAGAAAGTTGTGAACACACTGTTGAACCTGCACTTTATTCCTCTGCTGTTGACGACTTTCTCATAACCCTTGGACAAATCAGGAAAAAAATGAACATTATTAAAAATCAACCTCGTGAGATAAAACTTAATGAACTGCACAAGCAAAATACATTTCCACCAACACCTGTGCCCCAATTTTTAATAAGCTGAACAAATTCTGAAGCACAGAGGGATACTGGTTTTTTGGACTTGTATCAACTTTCCAAAAGTCTCACTTTTAATTCACTCCTACGATGTAGTATTCCTGGCAAGGCTAATATTTGGTGCCCATGCCTAGTTGCTCTCACACAACTGAGTGTTTGCTAGGCCACCTCACAAGGAGCTTAGAGTTCAACGATATTGGTCGGAGACTGGATTCAATTATAAGTTCGAGATCAGCTAAAGATGCAGGCTCCCTAAAAGTGTATTAATGAACCAGTTAGTTTTAACAATAATCCCTCAGCTTCACAGTCACTTTTACCGATAAGTTTCTGTACTTCCAGACTTTTTAAAAGATAATTTTAAATTTGAAAAAGCTTGAAATTCCAATTCTGATCAAGAGCTAAATACCGACAGAGAAAAAAAAAAGGTGAAATTAGATATCAAATACCAGATATGAAAATTATCAAGGCTAGTTCAGTAAATAGCAATGGCAAGTTATATGTAAGACCAGTAAAATGAAATCACCTATCTTCAATACACAGATGCTACATTTAAACCATCTAAAAGCAGTGGCATTTCTGACTCGTCTTTCTTCCTACTATGGTCATAGATCAATCGTTATCCTTTTCAACAAATGTTACCCAGGCCTATTTTGAGAGGATTTTGTCTAAGTGTATCAAATCCACTCATTTGAGTGATGAATAGACAATTAGGGTAGGTAGGCAGCAATTATAACATGAAGAATAAATTTTAATCATAGAACAAGAATGTACCACAGGGAAGTAAATCAACATGCTCAATCTTTTATTCACTGCACAAGGGC